ACTCAGGGCCTATTAGGTGAGTCTCTTTTCACCAAAGCACTGTGCACCTTTCTTTCTGGTGATTTTAGGTTGCTTTCTGAAACGGGTGAGTTTGCACGTGGGCCCTTTAAGAGCTGGTTTTAATTTCTTTGTGAACCAGCTTTTCTAGGGGTACTCCCCAATGTTTTAGTAGCAGGCAAAGTCAGATATTATGCCACTCGTCTCGATTGTGCTGGGTCCACAAAATGCCCCGAGCAGGGGCGCTCCTGGCTCAGGGCCCCGCTCCTCCAGGGAGGCTGTGGACCTGTGGGCTTCTCCCGGGCGGCTGTGAGGCACTGCGGATTGTGAAGGCAGTGTTTTTCCTCTCCAGAAGGGAGTTTCTGCCTCTTCGACCTCAATAAGGATTGTCCATTGTTGCAGGAGTTCCTCTCATTCTGTTTTCCGTTCTCTCTCAGGGGTGATTTTTCCATGAGTAGTTGTAAATTGGCTGTGTCGATGGGAGGAGGTGAGTTCAGAGTCTGCCTACACCGCCATCTTGACTTCCTCCTCCCAGACTACCTCTTTTTTAAATTAAAGATTTAGTGCTATAAATTTCCCTCTCAGCACTGATTTAGCTATGTCCCACAAATTTTGATATGTTATATTTTCATTTTAATTCAGTTCAATGCAATTTTTGATTTTCCTCGAGACTTCCTCTTTGACACATGGATTATTCAGAAGTGTGTTCTTTCGTTTCCAAGTGTTTGGAGATTATCCCATTATCTTTCTTTTATTGATTTCTGTTTGATTACATTTTGGTCAGAGAATACACCCTGTATGATTTCCTTCTTTTAAATTTGCTGAAGTTTCTTTTATGGTCCATGATCTGGTCCATCTTTATTTTTAAATTTTTTACATCATTGTGACAAAATATATAGAAGATAAAATATGTCATTGCAATCATTTTTGTGTAAAATTCAGTGGCATTAAGTGCATTCACAATGTTGTGCAACCATTACCACTATCTGTTTCCAATTAAACAATAACTCCCCATTCTTCCCACCCTGGTAACCTCTAATCTACTTTCTGTCTCTATGAATTTGCCTATTGTAGATATTTTGTGTAAGTAGAATCATACAATGCTTGCTATTTTGTGTCCAGCTTATTTTACTTAGCACGTTTTTTTTTTACTTATGTTTTAATAGTTTTTAACATTGTGAAATTTTGGGTTGTACATTTTTGTTTGTCCATCACCATATATATGTCTCCCTTCACCCCTTGTGCCCACCCCCTACCCCCATTGC